TGGATTTGGAGCTCAGGCGTAAGGAAAGCCAACTGTAGTAATAATAGTGATTGATAAATTGTAGTACTGATGTGAGTGAATGAATGAATGAACAGGGTGGAAGTGAAACAGAGTGGAGTAGGAAACTGATGTGTGCCAAAGGGATGCTTAGCTGACCAGTGTACTATCTGGCAGCCATGACAGTAATGATTGCTTCAGGTAAGAGCCATTCGTAGATGTCAAAACTAGTAGATTTGATGAGAACAGATTTCTGTGGTCTTCAGATGTCTTTCTGTAATATAGTTACTGGTTTTAAGAGGAAAACATATGTCACTATTAGGGGCCAGAAATCACGGGTGCCTCCCAGTAGGATGTACTGAGTAGGACACATTTCTTCTGTGATATTCCTGCTCAAAATGCATAATCTTAGACCCAAACGGAGGGACATTCTACAAAGTAAATGTCCTGTGCTCTTCTAAAACGCCAAGGTCACGAAAGACGAGGACGGAAGAAATTTTCCACATGAAAGGAGACGAAGCAGATGGGTGTGATTCTGGATTGCGTTCTGGATCAGGAAAATGAAGAGGTGTCCTTGATTTTAGGAAACCAACTGAAGTGGAGGGTACGGGGCATCCTCCTTGTAATTTACTATCACACAGTCAAGGGCAAAAGCTCCACAGCTGTGTAAAAGGAAGAGCCTGCAGCTTTTCTATAAATGACATTTCCGAATAAAGCTTAAAAACAGAAAAGACCGACCTCGCTGGCTGGGTGTTGTTCTGCCCCGGCTCTGCTACCCCTCCGTGGGAAATCACGTATTCTAGATCTCTCCCTCTTTTCGTTTTTAAATCTCTAACGGATCTTATCAATTATGACTTTAAGAAATAAAATGGGGGACAGTGTGGTGCATAGGGCTAAGCTGCCACTCAGGACACCCACATCCCATATCCAGTGCCTAGGATGGAGTCCGCCCACCCTTTCTGATCCACCTTCCTGCTAAGGTGCATGGTGGCAGGCAGCAGGTGTTACTGCTCCAGCCCTTCAGTTCTTGCCACCCATGTGGGAGGCCCACATGGAGTTCAGGCTCCTGGCTTTTGGATATTATAAGCATCTGGGGAAGTGAACTGAGATGGAAGATATCTGTCTCTCCTCCCACCCTGTCACTGTGCATTTCAAGTAAATAAACATTTTTTTAATTATGTATGTATATAAAAATTTCAGACAAAATTGTACAGAGATGTGTACCTCCTGCCCTCTGTCCCCCATCATGTTGGTCACCACATGTTACTAGTAACAGACTGATTGTCCCATTTATGGCCTTTTAAAATAAGTGTGCCCAGGTCTGCCCCAGTCTCACCAGTTTTTTTCTGTAAACGGATGATTTTGTTGCCTCTAAATCTCCTTGTCAAGGACTGATAGGCTAGCCATTTGGTTTTTGTTTTGTTTTGTTTTGACAGGCAGAGTTAGACAATAAGAGACAGGTCTTCCTTCCGTTGGTTCACCCCTCAAATGGCCGCTACGGCCCACGCACTGCGCCAATCCAAAACCAGGAGCCAGGTGCTTCCTCCTGGTCTCCCATGCTGGTGCAGGGCCCAAGCACTTGGGCCATCCTCCACTGCCTTCCCGGGCCACAGCAGAGAGCTAGACTGGAAAAGGAGCAACTGGGACAGAACTGGCACCCCAACCAGGACTAGAACCCAGGGTGCTGGCACCGCAGGCAGAGGATTAGCCTAGTGAGCCGCGGCGCCGGCCTGGGCTGGCCATTTGTGAGGACCCTGGGGTAGCCGATAGTTTGCAGAGCTATCGAGGTGACTCAGCCCTGGCCACCTCCATTTTCGTTACCTGCACACTCACGCTTGATATTCCCAGAAGAACAAACACATCTCATCACTGTGGGCAGCATCTGTCCCGGACATAGTAACCATGCTTCCGTGCAGGACACTGAGACCAACCCCCAGGGCCCTTCCCACAGAGGGACCAGCAGGTGGGCCATCGCACTGGAACCCCCCTGCCTGCTTCACGCCTGATCTGGGTCTGCCCCTCCATGGAGCTCATCTTTTCCTGCCACTAGTAGCGCCCTCCACTGGCAGCATCAGCACTCCCTGGGAACGTGTTGGAAATGCAGCTGCTCAGGTTCCAGCCCACACAAATCACAGAGGCGAATGTTTTGGGGGTGGGGGCGTCCCAGTGCTCCTTAGCAAGTCTCCCAGTAGGGCCCACGAGGTCCTTTATTATCTTCCCCCAGCCTGCTGGTGCAGCCATCTGCCTCTGGCCGCCCCCAGCACACATCCTCGCTGCATCCTGTCCCATAGGAATTTGCTGAGCCCTTTCCTGGACTGCCACCTGTTGAACTTCTGCTCTTCCCATGGCTCCCCAGGCCTTTTCTGCCCTGCGCAAAGCTGTCTGGCATCACCTTAGATACACAGGCAGCCATTATGTTGTTAGCCATGTTGTCTTCTCCATGGCTTGGCCTTGGGCGGAGAGCTCACCATCTGCCGAGCCTGGATTGGTTGAGCCAGTTGGCAGTCAGCGTAGCCGGTTGGTCACACCCAGCTGTTTGCTGGTAACGTGTTATCCTGAAGTTCATGTATTACCGATTGTCCATGCGTAGATAAGGAAGAGGAAGGTTGTCACTTGGCAGTAACCTTATCCTACAGCATTCGGTGTGAGCGTACTGTAGCCAGAGAAGACGCTCGCTAGGTTTTAATTAAAAGCACAAGGCATTTCTTTTTCATGACTGCTTCCTGTCTGCTTCTTCCTCTCCCCTTGTCTTCCTCTTCTTCCACGCTCTCGCTCCCCCTGCACCTCTCTGTGTCCTCCTCCTCCTCCTCTTCCTCCTCCTCTGGCATTTAAACAGTTTTTGGCTTCACTGACCTCTACGGATAGAAACTCAGCGGAGCAGGATATTGGTTACCAAATATGGTGTTGCTGGTAAAGATGTTGGAGGAATGTGGCTTGTATTCTAAGCCTCTGCCTCTGCATAAGCTGCCAAGCAAATTAGGTCATTTTAACTTTTGGGTTTTTTTTTTTCTTTCCTCTTTTAAACGAGGATGCTGGAACTTTGCTCTGGAACATGCTGTTGTTGTTATTTTAGCTCAGACAAGATGAGGGGGGCGGGGAGCGGACCAGAGCTTTCTGATGCAGACTGCCAGCCCAGGTTGTGTCCCGGGCGAGCTCGGGTGCGGAGCCTCGGCTGACTCCGGAGCGGCAGATGTGCAGCCTTGCTGTGGGAGGCGCGGGGGTCCCAGGGGACCACGGCCAGGCCCCAGGATGCCCTGCGCTGCCTGGCTGCTGCGTCACTGTGGGCTTGGGGCTCCGGGGTAGCTTCTGCTCGGGGAGGGTGAAACAGCTGGCAGGCCAGCACTCTGTGTGTCTCAGCACGTGGAGGTGGAGGCCCGCGTCTTTCCCAGGGGCCGCGCTGCACAGGCCCAGCTCTTCAGCGCCATATTTGGAAATCCTCCCCTGGGGATCACAGTCCTAGCTCGGAAGCCCTGTGAGAGGCCTGGCGGTGGGCGCGGGCCAGAGCTGGTGCTGTGTCACAACACAGCCCTGTCTCTTCCCTTCTAGACAGTCCTGGTCTAGAACTTACGGCACCGAGCTCCCCCGCTAGCACCCCAAAAAGGAGCATTCACCGAGAACTCACTGCTGTGTTCTTCGGCCGCGGGGACATCCCGTGTGGCAGCGGGGAGACCTGTGCATGGGGTCTCCCCTCCTCCCGCCCACCACCCTCTGGTGGTTCCCTCTCAGAATGCTTCACTCCAGACCCTGAAGAAATCCCCCCCCCGGAAGGTGGGGCTCAGGTGCTGTGGCTGTGACACCTGAGGACCTCTCTCCTCCTCCCCCACCCCTGGCTGCCACCTCTCACTGCCTAGACTACATCGTTCACAGCCTTATCTTTGGGTCTTTGAAGCTGAGCCTGTGACGTGCAGAGTCGCCCAGTCCTGGGCTACGGAATGAGAAGTTCTTACTCTATCCTTGAGGACATCCGGTGCCCTCAGGTCCATGTGTGTACAGGGCTGGGCCAAGCGGAAGCCAGGAGCCTGGAACTCCATCCGGGTCTCCCACGTGGGTGGCAGGGGCCCAGGGCCATCTTCTCCTTTCCCAGGCACGTTAGCAGGGAGCTGGGTCGGAAGGAGGGTAGCTGGGACTCTCACTGCATTCGGATACAGGATGCCAGCAGCTTAACCTGCTGTGCCTGAATCTTGTCTTTTAACAGTGTCAGTGGTTGGTTTTGTTGAATGTGATTGGTTTTTGCTAAACTGCAATAATAGGATCAAGGGTAATTGGCAATTACTGTTCCCTTTGGCCTGTGTAATCTTTCTGCAGCCAGCAAGCCAACTCTAATCAAAGTCAGAGCTTTGCTACAGCAAGGCATTTAGATTTTATATGAGTTTATAAGCTAACTGGAATCAAAGGACATTTGTTACATTGAAATCTGACAGCCGTTTCATTCCTACCTCCTGAGGAACGCAGAGTACTTGTGTTACCGTTATAAAGTTCCGTGATTAGACAGGGGGTGGGAATCTTGTTCTCCACCTATAGGCAATGAAGAGCACTGAGAAATTAACTCTGTTGTCCTTCAGTGTGTGGACGCCGGTGGCCGCCCCAGCCTCCTGGATACCAGGTGTCAGAGCTACACAGTACTCCGTTCTCGTGGGATCAGTCACAGTTTTCATTCTTGCTGGTGGCCGGTTCCTCAAAGTTGTTAATGGTGCTAGGAATTTGCTGACCCAAAATTTGAAAGTTGAACCAGAAAGGTTTTTTTTTTTTTCTTCCCAGAAGAAAGGAATTTGTTGAAAATCCCGGTAACTGAAGTTTGTAATTAAGCTAAATTCCTTGATTTTTCTGGACCCTCCGTGCTGTGCATTTTTGTGTATTTCCCTGAAAGCGGTGAGAGTGAGAGCTCTCCTTGGCCTTTTTTTTTTAGGGACAGGCCAGGGTGTGCTGGTGTGTTTATTTTGTCACCAATCCGGTTTGACGCGAAGGAAATGAAAACATCTCCCATTTGTTCTTTATTTCCAAAGGGCATCCGCTTCGATCCTGAAATACCGCAAACACTACGACTCGAGTTTGCTAAGGCAAACACGAAGATGGCCAAGAACAAACTAGTAGGGACTCCAAACCCCAGCACTCCTCTGCCCAACACTGTACCTCAGTTCATCGCCAGAGAGCCGTGTAAGTGGATCCACTTTTATTTTGGGAAGAGAAGCCAGGGGTTGAGCACAGGCTGCTGTGTGTGAGGTGACTCCTTGGGCGTGGAGTCTCCTGTCCTCTCCGCCTGTCTGAGTTCCAAACCCAGCATTCTTGTCGTGACCGGCTGCCCCGGAGAGGGTGTGGCCTGAGCAGAACCCGTACCCTGAAACTCGTGCTTGCTGTGCAGTGGGTTTCCCGAGTGTGATGCTGACCACTGTGAGTCCGCCCCTGTTTGCTTTGCGGTAGGAATCCTCTGTTCCCCCGCTCCTTGGACGTCGGAGCTGGTGCTCAGCATTCACTTTTCTCCTTGTGTTCAAAGGCTTCAGTTCTGTGTCTATCAAAAGTGAAAGAGGTGGGGCCGCCATGGTGGCAGAGCAGGTTAAGCCACCACCAGCAGTGCCAGCATCCCATACAAGCACTGCTCCGCTTCTGATCCAGCTCCCTGCTAACGCGTCTGGGAAAGCAGCAGCAGATAGCCCAAGTGCTAGTGCCCCTGATGTGGCCATTTCGGGAGTGAACCAGCAGATGGAAGATTTCTCTCTTACCAATTTGCCTTTCAAATAAATGGGGGAAAAAAGTGAAAGAGGCGGGTCTTAGGAGATTCTGTTTTTGAGAACAGTTTAGCCATAACTCTCAGGGGAAAAGTAATCACACACAAAGAATTCCTGTAGTTGAACAGTCAGTTCTGGTGGACTAACACTAGCGAAGCCTTAAGGAAATTCAGGGCTTCCTGTTTTAAATGAACCGGGTAAGGACGCTGGCTAATTGCTAAGCCTTAATGAGCTGCTTCAGCCGAATGGCCAGACCACAGCGTTGGCCTTTGAATAGCTTTTCAGTTTGCAGAGTCCCGCGTGGCGTACTGGGGCAGGGCACCCCAGGAAGCCCGCGTGACTTGTCGTTAGCGGCCACGTCTCTGTCTCACCTTGCAGATCCTCCTGCTGAGCCATGTGAATACGGTCATCTTCCCGCTCTCCCTGAGGACACATTTCAGCTCTCCGTGTTGAGATTGAAGGGCTCATGTCAGAGTTAATCAGGTCATGGTGGAAGTTAGTCACTCTGAGCTCACTTGGTCTTTTAAAAGCCTGAGTGTGTCAGTGGAGAGTCATAGATAAGAGCTTCTCCCCCAGCGCGTTTTAACATAAAAGTTAGAAAAATCAGTTTGTTCTTCCACGTTGTAGGGAAACTTTAGACCTCTTGGAGAAGGAAGTCTAAACAAAAGTTGCATTTCGTAGTGCCGCTGCCATACAGGGGATTACCCGGCATTCCTTACATAAGTCTTCAAGGGGTAGCCCAGTGCTTTGTATATTGTCTATATTTAATACTGGTGGATTACACTGAGTAGATAAATTGAGATTTAGATTTGGCTGTTTATAGAACTAAGGAGACATTTGTCTACTTCTTTATTTTCTCTCTTGAGCAAGGCATTAGATGGGTATTTTTTTAAGATATGTACTTTTTTATTTTACTTAAAAGGCAGACATAGCAAGAGAGAGATCTTCCATCTGCTGGTTCACTCCCCAAATGGCCTCAACGGCCAAGGCTGTACCAGGACAAAGCCAGGAACCCAAAGCTTCTTCCAGGTCTCCCACGTGGGTGGCAGGGGTCCAACCACTTGGGCCATCTTCCACTGCTTTCCCAGGCACATTAGCAGGGAGCTAGATCAGAAGTGGAGCAGCCAGGACTTGAACAGGTGCCCATATGGGATGCAGGTGGTGCGGACGGTGGCTTAACCTGCTACACAACGATGCTCTGCCTAGAAAAGAGTATTTTTAGAACGCCTTCAGTTAGAGAAGTTAACCTGGAGTAAGTCTTTTCTTTTTTAGTGAATTTGCCTGCATCAGATTTCTGAGACCTTTGAAGAGATTGGTTCAGACAGAAAGGGGAGCAGTAGCGAACCTGAAATGTTATCCTTTCCTTTGCTGCTTTTCTTTTCAAAATGTCAGAAGTCTCTTGGATCTGCTGGCGAAGCCCTGTGCAGTAGGCAGGCAGGGGAGACAGCAGCTGGTTCAAGGCAGCGCGTACAGAAGCTGCCAGGTGAACGCACTGCCCGCCCGCAGGTGCCTGCCGTGGAACCGGAGCGAGGGGCAGAGCCCCAGTGCTGCCCACCCCACCCCCCACCCTCCCCTGCACTCGGAGCAGCCCAGGAACGGTCTGCTCGGTGCCTGGGCAGTGGCAAAAGCTCCCTGGCTCCTCCTAGCACGACAGACTTGAGGGAAAAGGGAGGAAATACAGACAGCTCACAGTATCTTCTCGAGAAAATAAAGCGAGTGTGATTTCTCTCAGTATAGCTCCTTTTCATGACATAGAGGCCCTGATCAGCAACCCCGCTGTGACTCAGAGCAGCCTTATCGGCCGTCTGCATTCCTCCTGGGGATTGCCACACTCCGTGTCACACGCACAGACAAGTGGCTTTCCTGGAGGCACAGCAGGGCGAGACCACCGTGATGGGTCCCCGTGGGCCCGTCGGGTTGCCCAGTGCACACGATCGGCACTCGGGGTGCTTAGTTGATCCCCTGTCAGCTGTGGTCTGTGAGGGAATCCCACAGTCCTAGGACTGACAGAGCCCTGAATTCAGGCTTCTCCATTCTGGGCCACAGGAGAAGTTTCTCCGAATGCGGCTGCTTGTTAGTGTTGTCATTCGGTAGTGACTGCAGAGCGCTCTTTGCCATCCTTCAAGGGAGAAAGAACACTCTGTGACTCGGCTGTCCAACAAGCAGTCGCTCGAGCTTACGTGAGCATCCAGGGTGCTAGACCCTGGAGAAGAAGGAGACTCGCCGATGCCATGACAGCGTTTAGTCCAAGGAGCCAGTGATGCTCCCTAGAGAAAACCTTGGCCCCGCATAAAGGACACAGATTCTGCAGTGTAGTCTGTCTCCCAGACTGCACTGGCGTGTTTGCTGAGCGCATCCTCCGCCAAGCTTGAAGGGGGATGGAACCAGGTGCTGGAACTTCCCGGGCTGCATGGCGGCCTTCCGTGGAGAGCCTGGGCTTTAGGCTGGAAGCTGTCAAGGAGGCTTTGGCTCTGCATGCTAGTCACAAACTTCTCAGCCTATCATGAAAATGTTTAACCTTGCTGTGCGCCCGTTCCCGCCCCCTGTAAAATGCAAATAATATTTTCCTCATGGGATTGGAGAACTAAGTGAAGCAGTATCTTAGGCTTGCACTGAAGACGACGCAGGCCTACTGTGTGTCGTGTACCAGTGCATGTGTGCTGTGCAGTGCCGCTTAGTTAGAGCGGGTGTTGGTCTTCTGAGGGGTTGTCATCGTGTCACTGTAGCCATTTGTGTTTGCAAGGATGGCCGAAATGCACCTGCAGTCCCCAGACGGCAGTTCTGCCTTCCTAGCTACGTTGCTGTTCATTTGAGCTTCACCTCATGCTCTTTCGTATGTAATACAGTTTGGAGAAAGCAGTCGGTAAGGGATGCGGGAAAATGTTGGAGGAGCTGACTTCTTGTAACCCAGGGAGCTTGTGTTCTGTAGCCAAAAAACTCTGCTTTAGACATGTCAAGGAGTGTGTCACCACTTCTCTGTTATTTTCCTCCTGGTTACAGGACGATTCTGGGTGCCCAAAACTCTGATAAACAGAATTGAAGAAACTGAGGAAGGCCTGGGTCGGCTGAGTTGACCTGGTCAACAACTTGCCTGCCTTAAAATCCATAGTTGTAATCCCAGCCAGGTATCTCAGGATGTGCCCGTGCTTGGAAACCGGGTTTTTGTAGAGGTGATTAAGCTCAAACGAGGCCGTTAGTGTAGGGGCCTAATCCGGTTGACTGCTGTCCATCTAGAACTGGAAGAGACAGCAGGTGTGTGTGCACGCAGACAAGAGGGCACGTTGAGGGACACAGGAGGAGGAGCAGCCACACCTGCCAGCACCGGACTTGCAGCCCCTAGAAATGAGACGGAGCACATTGCTAGTGTGTAAGCGGCCACTCCGCCTGTGGCCCTGGCACGCCAGTATCAGCACGTGCGAGAGCCTGCCTCTAAACCCCGACTTGCGGTTACCTAGCTTCATACCTTGGGTCTAGCGACGTGAGCTCTGTGTATCCCCGATTTCTCTGCTATCGGCTCGCACTTCCAAGTGTGCCTATCCAACTGTGACGATCTGAATACCGATGGGCAAGTCAGAGAAGGGCCGCATGGTACCCGGAGATCGTTAGCGGGTGTGCGCCTCTCTGCCTTTTGGTCCTCGGAATTAGGAGACCTGTAGTTTGCCTACATCTGGAAGTATGCTGTGGAATTGTTTTTTAAGATGCCACACACGTATTTTTATGCTTTTTTTATCTGGTCATATTCCCAGGAGGTGTGCTTGAGGGGATTTTTAAAAATTTATAGTAGCATCAAGATGATTTTGCTACAATAAAATGCACATATGTAAAGTTTCGAATTTGGTAAGTTTTGTTATAAGGCTAAGTGCCTTTGCTGAGTTTATACTGTTTACCTTTTAAAGTAGTGCTTTTTTTTTTTTTTTTTTTTTAAGATTGCTTTATTTACGTGAAAGGCAGAGTTACAGAGTGAGAGTGAGAGGTATCTTCCATTCACTGGTTCATTCCCCAAATGGCCACAATGGCTGGCGCTGGGCCAATCCAGAGCCAGGAGCCAGGAGCTTCTTCTGGCTCTCCCATGTGGGTGCAGGGCCCCAAGCACTTGGCCATCTCTGCTGCCTTCTCAGGCACATTAGCAGGAAACAGGATTGGAAGTGAAGCAGCGGGGACTTGAACCTGTGCCATATGGGATATCAGCACTGTGGGTGGCGGATTAGGATTAGCCTGCTCTGCTACAGTGCCAGCCCCTAAAGTCGTGCTCTTAAAGCTGCAGGCAGCCAGCACTTCCAAGAGCCTTCACTGAAACCATGCCAGTCCTCCCCCCGCTCCCCCCACCGCCTTTCTCATGTTGCAAAGCCCATATTAAAGGGTTCCAGAAGTTTCCAGTGGTGCGTCTTCCTGTGGGGCTGGTCTAAGACTTAGACTCTGCATTCTTCGAAG